GCTCATAAATGTATACAGTTATAAAGTCTTCCTTCCACTGCAACTGTCATGGAAAGGGTTTGGAATCAAGCCTTTGCTCCACCCTGCTGCATGTAGCTGGGCTTCTATAAAAATCTACTTGTCACACTTTGGCGCACAGCTTTTCATTTTCTACCACAGTGTAAAAACACGACGCAATAGATGTGTTCTTACTGAGAGAGTGGGAATTTATTTTTGTATCCTTCAACTTGAGAAGTTTATGGGCAATCTGAACTTCTTTTATTGGATCTTCCAATCTAGCTGATGACGTCAATCAGAGTGAGCAACCAAAGCAGATACACATTTTGTGCTTCTCATACTCTGGAACTTTTCATTTTGCTTTGCATATTAGTATAGATTATTCAGAATAAAATATTATAATCCACTCTGTCAAATTTGATATGTGATGCTGTTTAATAAAAACAATAAAAATTCTATGAAACCACTAATGTGGTTTATTTGATGATTCACAATTATACCACTTTGGGCATACGCTTCTTTGAAGGCTTTTGCATAGGTTCCAATTTTGAGTTTCCTACTTGTAGTTGTTGGATTTGGTAGATTCTGGCTTCTCCTTGTTTCTCAGGTCCAAGCCTATTCCTGCTCTCCCTCCTAGTAGCTGGGGTCCACAAAGGCTTGGGTCCTCGGGCGGGGATGGAGGATGTGCAAAGACCCAGTGTCCGCAGAAGCCAGGAACAGAAAGTGCCAGCAGAAGTGAGGATGTGCAGGATCAGGCTGAGAAACCGAGTGTAATCATGTTGTGAAGGCACAGGAGATCTCTATTAGTTTTCTAGGGGTGCCATAACAAGTACCACAGACTGAGGGGCTTAAAATAGAGATGTATTTCGCACAGTTCTACAAGCTAGAAGTCCAAGAATAAGGTGACTTGTCTGCAGGGTTGGTTCCCTCTGATGGTTGAGAGAGAAGAGTCTATTCCAGGTCTCTCTCCTTGGCTTGTAGAAGGCTGCCTTCATCCTGTATCTTCACATTGTCTTCCATCTGTGTGTGCCTTAGTCCAAATTTCCTCTTCTTGTAAAGATACCAGTCATATTGGATTAGGGCCTACCCCAATGACCTCATTTGAATGTGATTACCTCTGTGAAGACCCTATCTTTAAGTAAAGTCACATTCTGACATACTAGCATTAGGACTTCAGCATGTGAATTTGGTGGGGGAAACACAATTCCATCCCTAACAATGTCCCAGAACAAGGATACAAAGCCAGATCTCAGACCTGCATAAAAAAAGAAATATATGCAATTCAGGGGTGACTGACACCAATGCAGACGAAATGTCCATCACTTCCTTTACTGATCTTTTTCTACAAGGTCATGGTGCACACTAAGTGTCTGGATGTGGGTGGAGCTGACTGCCTTAAAAGTTCGGGGTCTAATGTCTTCCCCTTGGGGACCCATTTAATATCTGTTCTCAGAGCTAGGTAAGGTAGTTAAAGGTCTCCCCTAGAGAAGTGGAAAAAGGGAATTTAAATTTAATCTCAGAAATCTTTTGGAGCAGTTTCTAAGTGCAAAGCCATATAAGGCCATGGCAGTGAGACTCTACTCTCAAGTTATAGTGAAAACCATCAGTGTCCATCAGTGGCCCTCAGTTCATCCTAGGTTAGCTGTAGGAGAATCATTTGCTGGGACAAAATTCTAATTCCCCCAAGATTCACATATCCTGGTGAAACTGGATATGTGACATCATGGTACTTCTCTTAATTTTATTTCATTATCCCCAAGTATTTAGTAAAGTATTATTTTAAAATTATCAAAGGAGGATTACTTAATGCCCAGATTATTAAAGTAGTACAGTGGCCCTTGAGGCCAAGAAGGTAGCTCTAATAATTAGCGAAGGGCCATCGGGGTTTAGCAAAAGTCTTCTGTCTCCCTTTCTAAATTTGAATGATGTGATCTGGGAAGTTTCCTTACATAGTTCATTGAGAGAGTCAGTTCTGAATTTTACATCATTCAGACTGCAGAATCAGATGATTGCAATACTTCTGAGCTACTTCTGAAATCTTGTGCTTTTTACTTGTGTTACTTAGCATATTCTTCCTACTGTAACTCCCATTAAGAAATAATCTAACTAATTTCTACATTTTCAAAATTATGCAGCTAGTATTTTAAATGTGAAGTTTAAATGTAGCTATGGAATGCTACCCAATTTGCAGATTTATCAATTATTGGTGGTTTGGATGTTATATAAAAGGAGTATTAAATCTCAATACACTACAAGAAATGTTTGTAGTATTTTTCATCCTTATCAATATTAATTTTGTGAGTGAGAGTTCATACTCTGATTCCATGTGAGTGAGAGTCCATACTCTGATTCCTTGTTTAAATCTACTATTCAAAATCATGAGCAGGGAGATTTATAAAAACTAGAGTTAATTCCAAAGATGAGAGAAATTAGAGCAGAAATACAAATGAAAAGGCAGTCCATCAAAATACTGAAATCAATAGTGCCTCCTGCTGTGTCACTGAACTTCTGTTAGCTGTCATTTATTTATGCTTATTCAGTTCACCCACAACAGAGGTCGCTGTGCCATGAATGTTACTTACATTAACTCATTCATTCTCACCACAACTTAATGAAATTAGATAGGGTTAGTCTAGTTTACAAAAGGAAGATTAAGAAGGTTGATTAACTTGTCCACAGAAATAGAAGAGATGGCTTCATTGTTCTGGCTTCTAAACAATTGTCCTAATCAATTGGGTTCATGACAAAGGCTTTTCCAAACTCATGGGGGAAAAAATAATCAAGAACCACCAGTGATATAGCCAATATATAAATAATATTTGAAAAAAAAACATATCAGAGGACATTGTAGATCGTGAAAGCATATGAAAATCATTGCTGCAGCTCAAGATTCAAGAATCTAATTGTCCCATTTATCCTCCACATTATGTATTGTTTATTCAAATTTTGGGTTTCATGTTTCTGTGATCTACAAAGATGGAACGAAGTCTCTAATTAAATATCCAAGAATTGATATTGGATGGGCAGGTGGCTTGGCCTCAAATCTTGACTCTTTTACAAATTAGTTAATTGACCTTGGAAAATTCACTTAGCCTTCCTGAGCCCCAGATGCTGTCCTGCAGGGTTTTGTGAGATCTGAATGAGATAATCCATGTGAAAATACACAGTTAGTACTTTGTGACACAAAGTTAGTATTCATTAAATGTTAACTGAATGAGACTATAAATAATTGTTTATTTACAGACCAGATTTCTCAAATCTTCCAAAAGATTAGTTCTTTATTTCTCACACATAATCTATGCTTTCATATTTGAGTTATAGATCAAATAGCTCAATGTCTGATTTCCAATGTTCTATATGATATATATATATATCTTTATTTATACATATTTATAGTATACATAATAATTATGTGGGTTTTTTTTCACCTATAGCGACCAAGACCTGAAAAATTTAATTGAAGTAAATTCTAATGTCTCTGAAAATAAAAATGGAAGGTAAGACTTATTATAATTTACTTTTTTTGTTATCAATTTCATATGAGCCTACACAAATTATATAACATTAGAAGATTTACTGAGGAGTTGAATTGTATTATGGTATTTAGATATAAATATGATTGAAATACAAAAATCAATATGCAGAGAACTTAATAGATAATATGGAAAAAAGTTAACAAAATTCAAATTCTGTTGGAATTTCTGACTAAGGGCCTTGTATTCAATTGCTTAGTGTAAAAGGCATCATGGAAATTCAAAGCTCTGCACTTGGCTGTGAAAATTTATTTTTACTTATTGTTGCTTGGTAGTTTTTCAGTGGTGCAGAAAGCACTCTGGGAATGTCTTCCTTGGATACCTAGTGCTAAAAGAATGCGCAAATTCATCACAGCTACAAAACAAGACCTAGTTTTGGAATTTCTTTACACTGCACAGTATAATGGCATTAAAACTGTTGTATTTTGTTTCTTATACAAGGAAAGTTGGGATAGAAGCTGTACTTCATTGTCGTTACAGACTGTTTAGGGAAGAATTAAATTGTTTTCCGTGTTTTGCAGTCTCCCTAGACCTATGGGGGACTCTAAAAACAATGGGTTCCTATTTTTTACCTTCATAAGGTACAGTTGTCTTTTCTATTAAAAATTTTGTTATGCAAAGAAATGATACTGTCAATGTTGTGTGTGGAGAGTGGAAAAGCAGAAAGAGATCTGGGTCCCCAAAATGTCTACAAAAGACTCTTGCATCTAATGTTAGTTTCTTTCTCTTCCATTAATTCCCTAAATCATCTTCTGCCTTCTTTTCTTGTGATCACACAAAAGGTTTTGATAAAACTAGGGAGGGTAAGTTTTCAATAGAATCTGTTTATCTTAGGAAAACATCCATTATTTTGGAAGCAGGACTGGGCTTATAGTTAGCCAGTCTCACTCAACTATTATCTGGAAATGATTAAGGTAAAAAATTGCAAGTAAATGTTTATGTATGGTTAAGGAACTTCTCATTTTAATATGATTTGACACATGCTCCAATTTCAGCGTGACTTGCTTACAAAGGATTAATGAAGAAATGGAATATTACGGAAATTTAAGAGCAGGAATGGTAGCATGGGCGGACCTCATAGAGGCCTGATCTGGAAGGTTATTTCTTCTTGGCCAGAGGACATGCCGTAAGGAATCCTTGGACATTAACCCTAGTTCTTTGGTATTACTATAACTTAGCTACTTCCTGAATATTGGCCGCTTCCTATTTTTGTCTTGCTTTTCCTTCTGCGTATTGGCTTTCTTATTCTTTACCCTATATCTATTTGATAACCAAGAATCTTTGCTGCTTTGCAGTTTCTACCTCCTCATACCTTGAGCTTACTCGTGGTAAGCTTTTTCATGGCCTGTCTGGCCTTCTAAAGCAAGGCATTATGGATGTGGCCATCTGCACTGAAGATGGTGTATAGATGGAAAACACCATGGTTGACAATAAGATACACATACTCTCCTTTCCCTTCCTGCAGTTTTGTCTGTGTCTCCTGCCTGATATAATCCAACTGTGACATACATTCACAAATGTACCCACTCTCTCCCAGTGAGACAGGAATCATCACATTTAGTAACTATATCAAGAAACCTTGGGGCGCCTGGGTGGCGCAGTCGGTTAAGCGTCCGACTTCAGCCAGGTCACGATCTCGCGGTCCGTGGGTTCGAGCCCCGCGTCGGGCTCTGGGCTGATGGCTCAGAGCCTGGAGCCTGTTTCCGATTCTGTGTCTCCCTCTCTCTCTGCCCCTCCCCCGTTCATGCTCTGTCTCTCTCTGTCCCAAAAATAAATAAACGTTGAAAAAAAAATTTTTTTAAAAAGAAACCTTAACTACCACCACTACAAAACCATTTCTTGATCCCTGACTTCTGTTTCCAGGTAGTGTTCATTCTCCTTCAGTTCGATCACAATCCTGAATATGTACAATGTTTCATGGTCTGCTCTCTAGAAATGAAATGGAAAATGTAAGCACCGCCCTGGCACTGACACAAGAACTGTAATAAAAATTTTCCCCTGGAACAGAATGGAAAAAAGAAATCTCTGGGCCCAATTTTTGTGCCCATGTATTCTGGCTACAAAAAAGGACTTTCAAAATGGGTAAATGGGTAAATATTTAATAGGAAGTAAATTAAGAAAATTCACAGAGAGTAAGAGACTTGACTAACTGTAGAAGTTTAGTAATTAGAGGGCTGGGATGAACCTGATTGTTATGGCTTCACGTCCTCTCTTTATTTTTTATAGTAGACTACTTTTTAAAACTATGTTTAAAATTCATAGTTTTTTACAAGAGCTCAAGACCTTGACATTTTATAGAAGTAAACCCCAACACATAGGGTACAAAATAGTAAGCTCTTAATAAGATTTTATTCTTTATGCAAAAGAGATTTATAAAATTTGCAGTGGTATCGATGTTTATCAGTTGAAGTTGTTTTATGGCGTTCGAATCTTAGGTTGCTAATGTTAAGTTAGTAAGACAATGGAAATCTAAATAAGAGTCCTGGGCCAATCTGCTAAACTGAGACTTGATTCACTTTATGAATGTATTCACTTTGTATAGTAATTGGATGTCCAAGTAAATATATTTTTATAATTAGCATATTCATAGAGTGTACAACCATCACCACAATCAATTTTAGAACATATGTATCCCCTCAAAAATCAACTCCGTACCCATGAACAGTCACACATCATTTTCCTCCCAACCCCTCATCCCTAGCCTGCTTTCTGTTTCGATGAATTGCCTATTCTGAACATTTCATATAAATGGACTCATATAATATGTGGTCCTTTATGACTGGCTTCTTTCAAGATTCATCCATTTAATAGCATGTATCAGTACTTTATTTCTTTTTATTGCCAAATAGTATTTGTCCATTGTATAGCTAAACAGCATTTTGTTTATTCATTAATTGATGGACATTTGAATTGTCTTTGAATTTTGGATTGTATTTAACTATTGTAAACAATGCTGCATATATGTTTTTGTATGGGATATGTTTTCATTTTTTTGGGTGTATACTTAGGAGTGGAATGACTGGATTGTATAGTAACTCTATGTTTAACCATCTAAGGAACCGCCAAACTATTTTCAAATCAGCTGTACCATTTTATACTCTCACTAGCAATGTATGAAGGTTCCAGATAGGTGAATTTTCAAGCTGAATTTCCACCACAGGAAACATTTTCTCAAGAGTAATCCCATTTGAAATTCTGTAAGATCCAACACAGTGTTTGAATTTATATTTTGTAGAGTTGTTATTTAATTAATTAAGACACGAAACTATGACCATTAATTGGAAGTTATAATTCAACAATTTGTTTCAATGAATAATAACTTTTAATGATAAAACTGTTAATTAACAAACATTGTGAGTCATGAGTTCTCCTTTATGAGGATTATTCAAGGCATCTGAGAGCAATACTTGGGCAGGGTTCCTCAATTGTACTGGTTCCCAAACTTTAGTGTATGTCACAACCACCTGCTGATAGAGAGACCACATTTTGAGAACCAGTACTCTTCTGGGTAAGATGATGGGCTGCCCAGCCTCTTAGGTGGTGGTTCTTAACCTTAACTTGCATGTGAGGCTCAGTGAAAAGGCTTAAAAGAATCCCAGTGCCCAAGCTGTAATCCAAGCTAATTAAATCAGAATATCTGGATGTGGGGCCCAGTAGCATTGTAAAAAGCACCACAGGTTATTTCACTGGTTGCCAAAGTATTTTTTAGCTATTTCTATGGTTCTAAATAATTAAAAAAATATATTGTTACCGCTTATTGGCATCAAGGTAGAATTTCCTTTTTAACATCTATCACCATCTCTGGAAGAACAAAGAAAGACTTGGCAAGTATTACAGAGCCTAGGAGACTAAAGAGACATGATTATTATGTGGAAGATATATCCTGATTCTGATTCTGGAACTGAGAAAGGACATCAGTGGAAAAACTGATGAAATACAAATGAAGTGTGTAGATTAGTAAATAGTATTGTACCACGTTGATTCTTTAGTTTTGACAAATATACCATGGTTATGTATGATATTAGAATTAGGAGAAGCTGGGTGAAGGGTAGACAGATTCTCCACCTGTCTTTGTAATTTTTCCATACACTTAAAATTATTCCAAAATAAAAGGTCTTTTAAAAAAAAATCTGTCATCTTCCAAACCTACTGGCATAGCAAAACCTGTCAAAAAGTTTATTGTTCCACGTTTCAAATTTGCTTACTAGCATTTAGTTTTTATTCACAATTATAAAAATTAAATCTTAGTGAAGCCATTATCATCATCTTATGATAAACACAGCTAGGAGATGCTACTTCTATTATTACTCTGTCTGGGCTTCCATAACAAAAGACCACAGACCAGGTGGCTTAAACAACAAAAATTTATTTTCTCACAA